GCGGGGCAGGCACCGAGCCAAGTGGCTGCCCCAATATTCCAAGTGAGAGGCCAAGGTGGTTGGCATTAGGTGGTTAGCAGATGGGGCGGAGGTGTATTTGGAAGGTACGGCTGATAGAAGGTGCTGATGAAGCGCACGGGGGCTGAGAGAAACAGGAATCCGTGGGACTTCTAGATTTAGGCCTGAGGAACTAGGTGGGCTAGGTGTCACAGGGCAAAGATGAGGGAAGAAGCAGGTGTGCGGACAGGACCATCAGGAAGGAGCCGAGAGCCCTCGCTTAAGCAAAGCAAATCTGAGGTGGCTCTTGGGTCCCTGATTGGAGATGCCAAGAGGACAGCAGATGCAGGCGTGGAGAGCTCCGAGAGCCAGGCCTGGAATCAAGGGTGCTGCCCTGCAGGGAGCCAAGGGTACTGCAGCCATGAGATGGGGTGGAATCCCTAGAGGATGAGAGCAGACAGAGGAGAGGTTCCCACAAAGAAGCAACGGTCGAGAGTGAGGAAAACCGGAAGCCAGTGGTGTCCTGGCAGCGAGAAGCGTGACGTTCGGGCAGGTGCCTGAGTGAGGGAGAGAACTCATGAAGCGACCAGACTGGGTGAAGGTTATGGGGATGGCTGGAGGGAAAGCAAGGTCACTCAACTCTGTGGAGGCTCTCACTTGGGGGGCGGAGAGCAGTGCGGAACGTTGGGTGAAGGACCAGGGTTCTCAGAAGGGAAACTTCCTGGAGAGAGGGTGCTGCTGGGAATGCCGAGCCAGCCCCAGCGCACCCCGGATGGCCTGGGCAAGGAGGGCCTGCAGTCTTCAGAAGGCTGCCCAAAGTCCAACCTCTCTCAGTGCTCAAAACGCTGCCCAAGGCATGACTTTTAAAAAAAGAATATCCTTGTAAAAACTGGTAAAACTTGTTGAAAAAATTTTAAAAAGACAGATATGCAGTGGCCCAAAGATAAAATAAGAGGAGGTGAAACGCTTGTATAATATGTTAACATGACAAGGTAATATGGAAATAAGAGTCATGGAATAAGAGGATGTGCTCGGGATAGGGTTGGCTTGTCCATCTTCCACAAGGATGCTCACGCCAGCATTCCCTCCCGAGGCCTGGAGCCCGCGATACTCACAGGCTGCACTCGTTCAGTCTGTAAAACTTCTGCCGGGCAGTACACAGTCTCCACACGTATTTTGCTGTTTCCATGTCTTCCTAGCAGACAAAAGGGCATAACATCACATGACAGGTCACAGGAGGACAACATAACTGGGTGACATACTAGTCTTCCATTTTCAAAGCTACCATCAGGATTTACATGGCCAATTCCAGAACATAAATGCTCTGATCCTTAGTTTAAGATGACTTCATTGCAAGATGACTTAATTTCTTTTTAATGCTAGAAATACCAATCTCCATTCTTGACTAGTGGATAATTAAAGGTAGTTTTCAACAAAGCAGTTGGCTCCGTGATGGGAGATTGCCTTTGTCAAGCGTCGCTAAGATCATACATTTACACAGCTATTTTGTTTACCAACAGAATGAAGATATCAGCCCTTGGTTTTCCTCAGCTAGTTCCTTAAATTGTAAGGCCCAGACAGTGTTTCTCCAACCCAAGCCAAGCCCACTGCCTCCTCGTGTGCCTGTAGACGGAGCAGAACTGCCCCAGAAGGCTCCCAGGGCTGCAGATCTCTGTGGAACCTGACTACCACAGCGTCCTTCCTCGGGGTGGCCAGTGGGTTTGAACCGCCAACCCCTTCTGGTCAGTGGCTGAGTGCTTTAGCTAGTACACTACCAGGGATCTTGCATTCTCCAAGGACTCTCCATTCTTTCCACAATATTTACTGAACGCTGGTGTTTTGCCATCTGCTATGATGTTGATTATCACGGAATCGTGCAGCATCCTCAAATACTTAAAAAGCTTCGAGAATGTGCTCATTGCAATGTCATACCCAAGCACACACCCCGCGCCCCACGCAGACCCCTAGTGCGGACTCACGGTTTGAAATTGGACGGTGTCCTCTTTACTGGGCAGCTCTAAAGCAAAGAAGGCCTTGTTGTGGGACATGTTGGTGATGTCAGACCACCTGGAGAGCAGCAGAGAGCACAGCAAGATGGAGGAGGGGACAGGAGGTGCCAACTTCCCTGCCTAAATTGGATTCACAAGTGAGGATGTGTGAAGCAGTTTAGAGAAGAGAGCTGGCTTCGCTAGCACTCATTCACTAATGGGCATCGCCAAAGTTGGCTGCAAAGAAGAAAGGCAAGTATATAAAAAGGGAAAAGAGCTGCAAAATCTCTCTGTCCTCCTAAGCCTGATGATCTTAGCTGGCAACCAAGAGCTCATTCATGCATCTACACGTACTGGGCTTCCACTGCACGAAAGCCAGACTGGTGTCGGTGCTGAGGTATGGAGCACGGCAGGGGGAATGGAGGGGGTGGGGGGAGGCAGTGAAAGCAAGCACATGCTGCACACATCACTAAAGTCAGAAGAAAGCCCTAGATTTCCCCCCAAGAAACCCAACCCACTGCCATGAGTCCAGTCCATTCTGACTCATCGCAGCCCTCCAGGCAGCAGTGCTCCATAGCAGTGCTCCATAGGGTTTCGGAGCCTGTAGATCGCTATGGGGCAGAGAGCCTCATTGTTCTCCCACAGAACAGCTGGTGGGGCCGAACCTCCCGCCTTGTGGTTAGCAGCAACCCACTGCTTAGCACACTGCACTAAGAGCACTGGGAACCAGAAATTAAATGCAGAATGCACATAAAAATGAATGATGGCCTCAGAGAAGGCACTTCCAATCCCCAGTGCCCCTCACAGGACAGAGTAGAGCCGCCCCCAGGGTTCCCAAGGCTGCTCTTCGCAGCTGCCAGCCGCCACCTCTCTCCTGGGAACAGCTGCTGAGCTCCTGCAGAGCTGTGCGCACTCTGCCACCTGGGCTCCTGAGGGCAAGAAAAGGTCCACACATCTTACACACAGGCCTGCACAGAGAGGTCCATGTACCTGAAGGTCAGCGGTGGCCGCCCGCTCTTGTGCTTCACGAGGATCCCCTCCAGGCCGGCGCAGACGTGGACGTCGCTCCCTTGGCTATCCTAAGCGGGGAGAGCAGAAAGCTTCCGAAAGCCTGACTCCCCAGCGACTCTAATCCCTCTGCCCCTCCCGGAACTTGCTTCTCAGAGAGAGCTACACAGTAACTCTTCTGAAGGGAAATAGCCTTCACTGTTCCAGCCGGTCGTATGTATGTATGTATGTATGTATGTATGTATGTATGTATGTAAGTAAGTAAAGTACTAGGTTTCAAGCAGAGCTTCCGACAGGTTCATTCCCCACCCCTTTTGAGTTTCCATTTGCACCCCATAGATACTGAATCACAATCTAATTCTGGCAAGACACCCAAGGGATTCTTACAGAAGTCTTAGAGTCTGCTGAACACAAGGCTTCTGGTTCAGCACATCAGGGGTGGATGCCCGCCTCAGGGTTGAAGTTACAAAGTGCAAAAGTAAAATGTGTGGGGCTACAAACCTACTTGGACAATGTCAGACTTGTGCTCCTCTGCAGCTTTTCTTTATACATCAGGGCCCCCTTGAACCTTGGAGACACGCTGCAGAGGGTGCCGCTGCTGCCGCACCAGCCTCACCTTGGCATTGTAGCTCTCTTCACCATAGCCGTCCATCCGCTCCACCTCCTGCATGTACAGCATTTCCGCATCAGGGGCTGGGAGCCCTCTGCGACCCAAAAGCAGGGAGGGAGACTATTAACAAAGTGGAAAATGCTTTCCTAAAATTGAGCATAGAATACTAAGAATCTGTTTAGCATCCAAGACTATAAATAGCCACCACGTGTCTATCAGTTACAGTGGTGTAATGGTTAGGCATTGGGCTGTCATCTGCAAGGCCAGCAGTTCAAAGTCAGCAGCTCCAATGGAGAAGGACAGGGATTTCTACAGTTACAGTTTCAGAAACCCACCTGCCTCTACTGTGTCTTATAGGATCACACTAGGAGTCAGCATTGACTGGATGGTAGTGAGTGTCTATCAGTTTGTTGTATTGTAGTTGCTTGTATGTGGCTATGATGCTGGGAGCTATGTCACTGGTATTCCAAATACCAGCAGGGTCGCCTAGAGTGAACAGGTTTCAGCAGTTTCTAATGAAGAAGAGACTACAAATAAGGGATAGGCTGTCCACTTCAGAGGAGTAAGCTGCTAACAGCCTTAGGCACAGAATCAAAACACTGTCGGATACTAAAAACCTCATGAGCATTGAGGTTTTTAATATCTCACTGTCAGAAGATGAGCCCCTCAGTCAGAAGGCGCTGAGCAAGAGTTGCCTTCTCAAAGCAACGTCAAACATAATGAATGACATGGACAGAGGAAAGCCTGTGGGAGGGACGTCCTTGGGACCTTTACTCACTCACGGGCATGCCTCAAAATGAGAAGAAACAGCTGCAAAAATCTGCTAACAACCATAACTTGTAATGTACAAAGGATGAATCTAGGAAAACTGGAAGTCATCAAAAATGAAACGGAATGAATAAAGATTGATATGCAAGGCGCTAATGAGCTGAAATGGACTGGCACTGGCCCCTTGAATCAGAAAACCGTATGGTTTTCTATGCTGGAAATGACACAATCAAGAGGAATGGCGTTGCATTTAACATAAAAGCCATTTCAAGATACAGCTTAAAATACAATGCTGTCTGTGATAGGATTATATCTATCCACCTTCAAGCAAATCCTATTGTTCAAATTTATGAACTATCCATAAAAACTAGTGAAGAAATTGAAGAATTCTACCAATAGCTTCAGTTTGAAATTGACCAAACATGCAATCAAGATGCATTGATAATTATTGGCAGTTGGAATGCAAAAATTGGAAACAAAGGGGAAGTTCTAGAGAAATTGTACTGTATATTCTCGTGTATGAGCTGAGTTTTTCAGCACATTTGTAATGCCTTTTTGTGGTACAATTAGGTGCCTCGGCTGATATTCGGGTCAGCTTATACTCAAGCATACATGATATATGGAAAGTATGGTCTTAGTGATAGAAACGAAGTTGGAGATCACATGAAAGAATTTTGCAAGACCAATGACTCGTTAATCACAAATCCCTTTTTTCAGTAACACAAAAGGTGACTACACACATCAACTTCTCCAGATGAAATAGACAAAAATCAAATTGGAAGAGATGATGGAAAAGCTCAGTATCAGCAGCTAAAACCAGGCAGGAGTTGACTGTCAAACAGCCCACCAATTGCTCATATGTAAGTTCAGGGTAAAGTTGAAGAAAATCAAAACAAGTCCACAATAACCGAAATACAACGTTGAGTCTATCCCACCTGAATTTCGAGAACCTTTCAAGGACAAATTTGATGCATTGAACAGTAATGACTGAAGACCCGGTGAGCTGTGTGATGACATCAAGAACCTCCTTCATGAAGAAAGTCAAAGGTCATTAAGAAGCCAGGAACAAAAAAAAGATCAAAATGGATGTCATAAAGGACCCTGAAACCTGCTCTTAATCGTGGAGTAGCTAAGGCAAATAGAAGAGATTATGACGTCAACAAGCTGAACAGAAAATGTCAAGGGCAGCTCAAGAAGACAAAGTAAAACATAATGAAATGCACAAAGACCTAGAGTTAGCAAACCACAAAAGGATCAGCACAGCTTAAACTGAAAGAACTTAAGAAAAAGTTCAAGCCGCACCTTGAAATATTGAAAGAATCTATGAGTAAAATATCAGATGATGTAGGAAGCATCCAAAGAAGATGGAAAGAATATATACAGTCACTTTATCAAAAAGAACTAATAGACATTCTATCATTTCAGAAGGTAGCTTATGGGCAAAATCCAATGGTACTGAAGGAAGACAAGGATCCTGAATCCAAAACAAGGATCCAGGTTTGAAATTGATGGAGCAGCAATTGAAATGTTTCCATAAGCTGAAGAAGCACTGGAAGCACTTACCCAGCTATGCCAGGAAATTTGGAAGACAGCTACGTGGCCAACTGATTGGAAAAGACCTATATTTGTGCCCATTCCAAAGAAAGGTGACCCAACAGAATGCTCAAACTAGAGCAATATCATTGATATCACATGCAAGTAAAATTATGCTGAAGATCATCCAACAAAGGCTGCAGCAGTTCATTGACAGGGAGCTGCCAGAGGTTCAGGCCAGATTCAGAAGAGAACATGGAATGTCATTGCTGATGCCAGATGTATCTTAGCTAAAAGCAGAAACTATCAGAAAGAAGTGGATTTGAGGACGTTTACTTGTGTTTCCTTGACTGTGCAAAGGCATTCCACTGTGTAGATCATAAACCATGGCCAACCTCCTTCCAGAGCACTTCATTATGCTCATGCAAACCTCCTGCATGGATCAACTTGCAGGTGTGCAAAGAGACAAGCGAGCAGTTCGTGGTTTAAAATCAGGAAGGGTGTCCATCAGGAGAGCAACTCAGTTTAAAGAAAACTAAAACCTCACAGCTGGACCAATAGGTAAACAGATAATAAGTAGAGAAAGATTGAAGGTGTCAAGGATTTGGTCTTGTTTGGATCCACAACAATGCTCATGGAAGCAGCAGTCATGAGATCAAATATCACATTGCATTGGGGAAATCTGCTGCACAAGACCGTTTTAAAGTGTTGAAAAGCAAGAATGTTACTTTGAGGAGTAGGATGTGCCTAACTCAAGCCATGGTATTTTCAGTTGCCTCATATATGTGTAAAAGTTGGGCACTGAATAAGGAGAACGAAAAATCGATGCTCTGGAATTATGGTGCTGGTGAAGAATGTTAAAAGTGTCATGGACTGCCATAAGAAGATGGCAGTCACCTATCTCAGAAAAAATACAGCAAGAATGGTCCTTAGAGGCAAGGATGGTGAGACTTTGTCTCACGTACTCTGGACATGTTGCCAGGAGAGACCAGTCCCTGGAGAAGGACGCCAGGCTTGGTAGAATGGAGGGATGGCAAAAAAGAGGAAGCCCCTCGATGAGATGGTTTGACACAGTGGCGGCAACAATAGGCTCAGACATAAAAACAATTGTGAGGATGGCGCTGGACCAGGCAGTATTTGCTTCCACTGTACAGAGGGTTGCTGTCAGTCAGAACCAACTCGACAGCACCTAACAACTATAAATAGATCAAGTTCCACTGTAGTTTGTCAGACGACCATCAGCATTACTGAAAACCGACTACCTGCTGAGCATGCTGAGAGTGAGTTCTACCCATCTTGTTGGAGGAGCCCTGGTGGCATAGTGCATGATGGGTTGGGCTGTTCAGAGCCAGGGCAGCAGTTTGAACCAACCAACTGCGCCACAGGAGAAAGTTGAGGCTGTCTGCTCCTGTCGGACTTACAGCCTCAGAAAACCAAAGGGGCGGTTATACTCTGTCCAATAGGATTGCTGTGAATCCAAGTCAACTCAATACTTATGAGTTATTCCTTTTGCCTACGAATCCTGGCCTCGCCAGGCTAACATAAAACCTTCCACTACACCTTTGTATTCTAGGCAGGTGAGTTAGTTAATTGTGCCAGCCTGGCCGATAATCACATGTGGGGCTAATTGAAAGGCAGAGGGATAAATGGGTGGT